CAGTTTCAAGCTTTATATGCATTAAGATTATAAATTTCTTCTTGAATATAAAAACCTTCACAATTTAACAGTTTCTGAGCTTATCCAAATCTTCAATAAGGTAGTTATTTGGAGTACGTTATCACACTCATGTCGAAAAAGGATAAGTCAGCTTTGTTTCAGAGAGATTCATCTCCAGCCATTGACTTCCTTCTATTTAACGTTTCTTTTCAGTAGTTGACAAGGATAACAGTGAGTCAATTTGACGTAATAGCCGAGAAAGCTACTATGAATATCACTTGTTACCTAAAGCAAGTGCAGCTTCACATGGGAGATAGAGCGCAGGCACCTATCATCAAAAACAGCTAAAAAGCAGACTTCTGAATGTCCTGAACAAAGACCCGAGTTCATTTGGCATAAGATCCACCTCCGTCAAATGCAGTATGATGCTACCAAACTGTTATGTATGTGAATAGGAGGACCTGGTAGACTTCGAGCGAAACTAACTAATGCGCTGGCTAATCTGTCCTAATCGCACGTCAACAACAACAACAATACCAGTCAATTGAAGTCTTCCACCACATGCACTAATTGCTATCTGATTTGTCTTCTCTATGGCAGGGCATCCCAACTTCTGCCATAATTTCTTTGATATTATTGTAATATCGGATGCTGTGTCGATTTGTAGGCGTGCCGGCTGTGTATTAATCGTCAGATTGATATATTTGCGAGGTGCTGGAGTACTAATATGATATGTGGCAGTAACACCCAAAGACTTGAGCTTGTTGCGCCGTCTGAGTCGACTACGAGATCTGGGTCGGTTGTTGCGTTTGCAGTAGCCATCTTTGTGACCAACAGTACGGCATCGACGGCATTTATGCTGTTTGAATGGGCACAAGTTTGCAAAATGCCAGGAACCACAGTGCCAGCAGGCTGATGGTGGTTTATGCTGAGGGTGAAGCGGTGCGGTTGATGTCGACGGAACTGGATGCACCGCATGCACTTCTGCTGCATTTTGGCTGCCAGACTGCACCAAGACGGTATCGTTGTGAATGTTGATTAAACGCTGATATTCTTCACCGACGTCTTTCAAAGTCATTCGTGGATCTTGTTCCAGACGATTTAATAGACGTGTGCGTATATCAGCAAATTTGGGAGACTGCAAACCACAAATGAAAATCAATACCTTGAACTGGTCTTCTGAGAGTGATTTCAATTTAAAACGTTCACACGTGCGATTGACTATACCCAACTGAGTATGGATATCATCATTTTCGTTCAAAATTAGTTTCATGCAATGATATCGAATGTTGAATAACGATCTCTGATCACCAAACTGATGACGAAGGGTATGGACAGTTTCATCGAATGATCTTTCGCTGGGCTTCTGTGGGAGAATTAAGTTGCAGTATTTATCTAGCTCCTCTGCTCCCAATTTACGAAGTAGAAGCCGTACTTTCCAGGCATCATCTTTATCCGCAAAGTCTACTCGAAATATGTCTTCATATCTGCGAAACCAGGTATCAAAAGTAACGTTTGCATCTGGATCATAAACGAATTCTGAGATGCTACTACCAATGCTGTCGTTGGCTGTAGATGAATCAGCGGAGCGTGATATTTGTAGACCAGTAAGCATTTCCATCAATTTTAGCTGCTGTTCCATTAGTTTCTCTAAACGCAGTGGGTCCATCTTCAGCAAACCCGTCGCCAAATTTGTTATGTATGTGAATAGGAGGACCTGGTAGACTACGAGCGAAACTAACTAATGCGCTGGCTAATCTGTCCTAATCGCACGTCAACAACAACAACAATACCGCCGGGCACGCAAGACAAATAAAAGAGAAGACTGGACGTTGATATGAGAGCTTTTACTGTCTCAAACAACAGTCGAAAATGTTAAACAACAACTCCGTATTTATACAATTAGAAAAATCAATGTCACATTTTAAAAATATTAACGACCTTGGGAATTCAGTAATTTAAATCAATAATCACGCAGATGCGTGAATCAATGATTATGCTAGTGTGTGAAATAAATAATGAATATTAATGATTCACCTGCGTATATATTACAAACCTGTCTGCAGCAGGTAGTACATTCACTAAACTAGTAGCGAATTCAGTAGCGTCAGAAGCAAATGCCAATGGTACGCCCAAAGCTGAGAAGTCAAATTGAGGTTTAGTAACAGTTGGAGTCATATATCGGAGACCTCAGTGCTACACTGGTGATTTCATATTACATCACCTATGTGGCCCACCAATAACAGATTCATAAATCAGCAGCTTTAATGGCCTTCATATTAATTGGGAAATCACGACTACTTGCTCTTCCAACCGGTCGTGATTATGCTTTAATACACATTGTACAGGCGCCAACATGTTACTACTATAAAAATTAAACTGGAGTACTGAACTTAATCTTCACTCATCGGGAAGATGATGCTGGTGACTTTTGGTATATTTCACTACCGAGGCATTGACCATGTGGCCGTTTTGCTAAGATTTTAAAAGTTTGAGTTGACTGGTAGGTCAAACATTCAACCAAATAGTTACTGACCTGATTTACTGACAAATAAGGATACAGCAGCCTTAGCAGACTGGACTGTTAGGAGGTAAATTTAGAAACGTAGTAAAACCGACCATACCAAAACTTCGTATCCAGAAAAACCGTTCAAGCATTATTCCCTTCTTGGGCATTCCTAAATCATACGCTGTTTTTTTCATCCATGTGTTTCCCTTGTATTTTCACCAAACCACTTTTATTACAGATTGAAATTTGTTACTTATTTTTACGATTTTCACACTTTTTTCAATACATAAACTAACACTAAAACGGTATTCTGATCACTTATGTTATTACTGTCCTTCGCATAACTTATTCATCTCATATATTGATAGTTTGACGGTAAAACATTAACTGTGGTCTTATTATTTGTTTAATACTTATTACCCTTAGGCTAACTTTTCACCAAATAGTCTAGAACCACAACCCAGTTTACTGATTTTCCTCCCTCATAATGTGTGGATTTACCGAGACTAATTATTATCCACATGCAAAGGCTAATTGATCTGATAGTTTACAATTTGAATCTCATCTGATTTGAAGTCTACATTCCTACTTTACGTAAAATAATATGACTCAATTGATGGGATCAAGAATTGACATTTTATTCACATGTACTGATCAAATATGCATGCGTATACTTCTTTTTCCATGCCTCAAATCTACCAGGTTCATGTCGTTTAAGACGAAGTTTAAGCATTATAGCCAAAGTGAAGGTCGTTCGAAAGTTGAACTTCAGGGTATGCTAAAAATGTCATTCGAAATGAAATCATGCCTGCCTTTTTGAACTTGGAGAGAATAGGTACAGTTTTCTACTTATTTACTACGTACTTTTTCTGCAAATCTATACTCCTAGGTAGTGTTATGGCGTTTAAGAGTAAGGTTTAGGATCTAGGGTTGAGGTTAGGTTTAGGGTTACAATTAGGATTAGGAGTTAGGATTACGGTTAGAGTTAGAAGTAGATTGAATAGTGTCAGTAATACCAATGGATTTCAAAGTAACATGACCTACAGCCACTTGGATGGTACGATTCCTCTATAGACAATCTGTGTATTGACAGGGAGACATTCTTACAACACATAAACTACAACTACACAGTGTGATATCATGTTAGCAAAATTTTTTAGTGTATTTTCCAACGATTATGCGACTTTTTTGCATCCGAATTCTAATTGGCCATTCTAGGTCACTGCGGTTTAGAATACGATGGTTTAACTTTACCTCGTTTAGTACCACATGCTACTTAATATACCACCAAAGCATTTTGTAATAAAGTCTCGAGAAGCTGAACTATGGGACCTCAACCGAGTGAGTGAACCAATCTTGAAACAACAGTAGTAAAAATACAAACTCATGTTGGAATAGAAAACTCAAATAAGACTTATTACTACTGTCCTGGATTCATCAAAATTTTTCCACCAGTTGTTGTTTATCATAAGCATCAGTAAATAGTTTCGAACCCTAGTGTTAATCTATATAAGTTTGATCTGATATATATGTATATAAGTATATATACACCAGACATACACAAATGAACTGTACAGAACGACGGTTCCTGATGCGGAGATCCCTGCTTATAAAGCTTAATTATGGAAAATTTGAGATATTTAGGAACAGTTGTAATTTTGAGAATATAAATCCAACTCTCACTACAAATAAACTGTAAATAAATCATATGATGAAGAGGCCTTAAGCTTACAATAATTCTAAACTAATCCTAACCTATGAGTCAATAATGCCTTTTAATAGTATATGAATATTTTGTCTGCCTAAAATGAAACCATTATGTGCTGGCTAACGTTCTTTAAAAAAAGAATGGACACTTAATTAATGCGACGAGATCCTGAAAATAAGATTTGCCGCTGAAATTAGGCTGTTAGTGCTGAAGTAATGCCAGTCAGTACTGAATTTGGGCTGAGAGGGGTGCCACAACTCTGATTAGCAAACCCAGTAGGTTACGAGCTACTTCTGAAAATGCCTAGAAAAAGCACATGGTACCCAATGAGCGCCACTCATGTTGAAATCCAGCAATGAGTTCTAGTCTGTGCGCCTAATCAAACCATTTCAGAGGTTATAGCCTGTATAACCTCTTCAATGCTATAACATAACACAAGAGCGTGAAATGGAACAGGGGTTAATAATGGAAGTCACGAATGGAATCCCAAAATTAAGTCATCAATAAGCTACATGTAAATTCAACTACCTTCAAGTTGCAGACTAACCTTCAGGTTAGAAACATGCCGGAATCTCTTCACGTGCGCCGGTGTTCCGCACATTTTTCAATAGACCTCCGAAAAAATTGATCACTTGTGAATCTAATCGAAGAAAGAGGCTATAGTCAGTTTCAAGGTCATGATGAGTTCCTGAGTCGGCTGGTTATGTGTTTCCGTGAATTCGTTTTCCATTGAATTTTAAAGGTTTTTTGAATGTTTTACGCATTTTGCAGTGTGTGTGTCAATTTTTGTCACTGGATGCTTCTATTAAGCTTATATTTAGCCTGAATTTCCCAGTTATTATGTTGGTAGTTAAAGATTATGGCAAATCTGCAATCATTGAGCCATTTCACGTATACTATTCTAATATACTAACATTATTTAATAAGTAAACTCCCTAACTGTTCGCCATTGTTTGACATGAAACTGTGCGCTGGTTTTCCAGCATGACTGGCACTAAATCAAACCTACTGGGTTTGCTTATTAGCGTTTTTCCAGCCTGACAAGACATATTAAGCATTGAATGCCGTTACTTCAGAGCGAAAAGATTCAATTCGGCACGCAGTTCTTATTAAGCACAACCAGTGGCATTTCAGAACACGGTAGGTAAATAAGACCGTAAAAAGGCATTATCGAGGAATAGGTTAGAATAAGTTTAGAATTGTTGTAAGCTTGGTGGTGCTGTGGTCTAAGTGATAAATCGTATTAATCAACATTATTCAGGATATGCTTAGAACCAGAAATGCTCGGCTGAAAAACGTAGTGAATAAGGCTCAGATCGGTGTAATTTATAGCTGACTGTAAAGCGCTGTCATCACGAAACAAACAACCAAAGTATGCTTTAGACTGTCGCTCTCAGGCATTTGAAGGGAAAGAAAGTGTAACAGCATTGTAGATATACATGTTTTTATTATGGATACAAATGGAAACAATAAGTTAGTACAAACATTTTCACAAGAATAATCGATTAACAGGGGCACGCCGTAATCTTAAAGTTGTTTGTGGATCATTTGTTAGCATATCGTCTAAATTTCTAATGACCTCGTCTATTTTCTGCAGTGTACCATTTGGATTTCTTTGGTTCAGACGGATGAGACGACATCTGAGACGTTCATAAGCATTTCGGAACGCGTTGTTTGGTTCAGGTGCTATGCGGATGGCTCGCGGAATGTTGTCCTCTGTGTTATATAGACGTGTCCACCTCTCACTATTTCTCAGAATATCTAAGAGTAACATTTAAAGAAATGGAACATACCACAGTTTAGATATGAGTTTAAGAACGCCTCAACGACATGTGCACATGGCAAATTGTATGCACAGTATGTCCAACATGTGCATTTCGCCTCATTTCTGTTTACGAAGAAGATGTGACTTCCTTCTGCGTAATTGACTGCGGTGGAAGATATTGAAAGAAAGAAGAACATGCGCCTTTGCAAGTCTAAGACAACTTTCTGGGCAGCAAACGGAGTGAGACACCGTAATTTAGACTGCAGTGAAGTTTGCACCTAGGAGAAATCGTAAATTATCTTGAAACTTACATCGTAATTGTAGTATTTACGAAGCATCCACTGGCCTTGATGTATTTTACGTATGGTTGTGTGGTCAATCCACCTCCATATTTTCCATAGTGTCAGTTCCAGCGGATCACCTTTACGTAAATACCTTTTCAACTGCCTATGAGCGTTCTCCACTCTGTTGTTAGTATTGTTCCCCATACTGATGGTGAACCGGTTGCATGATGCGGCCCAATATTTCCGTGTCCTTAGCCAGTACCTTCTAACGTAAGCACCAGCCTCGGCGTCTATAATACTTATGAGGTTGAGGTAATTCCAAAACCTTCGGCAATAAATTGTGATTTGTTAACCTACCTGTCATAACTGCGCGTGTGCGCCATTCGATACAACCATTTTTTAACACGTTGATTTGGGAACTGTTTTCGCTATGTTAGTTAATGGGAATGAAACTTACCCTCCTTCTGAATGCCTGGCATACATGGAAAAGACATAAAATAATGCTGCACCTGGGGAATTCCTCCTTTATAGCTTTGATCTGTGCAGTTGCACAGTCGACAGTGAATGTTTGTGTTTTCGATATATCACCCATAAATCCCTTAAACGTTTGCAATATCTCCTTCATATCTGCAAACCGTTCCCTCCTAGTAACAGCAAACAAAACAGTCCTTCCTCTTCCGAATCCATCAGTCACAACAAACTGATATAAAGGCCATCTGTAATAAATTTGGGGAAGGAATTAGACCCTTTTGTACTGCAACTTACCCCATCTTATTCGTTTTATAGGTAGAATCAATTCCAACTACTTCTGGAAACTTATGATAGAGGTCTATCATATCATTACGCGCGAAAATAATTTTCGATACAAAGTCTGCATTGTCCTGCAGAACACTAACTGGACCTGTCTGCCTCAGTCGATGAAGAAGGTCTTCTAAACTACCGATTTCTACTCTACTGTCCCATTTATTTTGATACGACTTACGTTTATTCATCATAGCTCGCATGTTTTTAATATCATTATACAGGAGCACTTTGCTGAATTTCTCATGCGCAAAATCCATGACTTCATGGACATCAGTGTTCCTTTCAATGAACGGTTGTACAACTGTCATTTCTTCAGATGATAGCCGACGTCTAGATACATCGGTGGACATGAAACTTGCTGTGCATGGATGGTTATGCACAGTTTGGTAATTTGTTATTTTGTATCCGTCGGATGTACGCCGTACCATAATTGTTGACTCACATGAAGTACTTTTGAACCTTAAAATTTTCAAAATTTACAAGCACAGTCGACTTACCCTCTGTTCCTAAAGCCAGCCCCTCGGGGAGCACGTATACATCCAAAAGTGCATTTAAATCTCACAAACTTATATTCCATAGGATCGGATGAATCCTTTTTACTTGAATCAACCCGATAAGATGTGTTGCATTCCTTTCAAATAAATAATGAACAACTTAGTTAGTACCTTCATAAAATCGTTAAAAGCTTCCTTAAACTGTACCCACGTATAAAATACGCAGCAGAGCATTATTCTTCCGAATGTAGCTGTTACATCACACAATAGAGATGACACATTACGTGAAGTAGAGGCAGTAGGAGTATTTGACAACATCATTTGGTGGTTTCCTAACGAACACAACACAATGATTTCAAGTAAATGAACTATAGTATATATTTCAGTGCTTATATACCACTGTTGTGACCTAGTAAATTTAGCTGATTTATACTTACCTGTAAAGCACATATGACAGGCCACTGAACTGACAACTTAAAAGGTGTGCTAATTAAATACTCATTAAGTGTCTAGAAATTGCGGTTGAATCACATTCTTCTAGTAAGCGAAAATGCACACATCCTATTTCACACTTAAAATATGTGTATCAAAATTACCGTTGTCTCATATTCACTTACTTAACATTCTCAGACATCTCAATGAGTCATGTTCGTCTAGTAGGCAAAAATGCACATATCCTATTTTAGACTTAAAATAAATGTATCAATATATGTACTGTTGATTTATATTGACTTAATATACAATTTCAGATATCTTAATGTACCTTTATGTACCACTAATGCATCCAAATAGCCTGTGAATCATCACACTACACTCACACCCATAAAATTAACACGTGATTATATTATGGTAAAGTACGTTCAATTAAACTGCCTGTAAATTTCCGTGTCAAAATAACAAATTACCGCTTTATTTATATTTTAGACCAATAAGAAGCCAGTTAGCCAACAGCCAATAAAAATCTGCCTATATCGCTTTTCCTAATCGAATCTAACTTCTAATTAATCGCAGTTTGTATGAATTGTGCTTTAGTTCGTTAAACTGACATTTTGCACATTTCTCGAAGTCTTCAGAAACGTTATCTCGAAATGAGTGTAAGTGGTAGCATAGCTTATGTTTTGGTCTTGACTGTATACTGCTAAGTGAAGTCTTAACGTATTTACGTCACATAGTATATGATTTCTCGTGAAGTAATCATGACATTTGTGTTGGACCTAAATATAATTTCGTATAGCTTCTGAAATAGTTGAAAATGACACTCTTCCAACAGAACTCTTCATCTCACTCCCTCTCGAAAATCAGATATTTCTGACGATTTCTGACGTGGTTAACATAGAAACTATCTATCTCCCCACATGTTGTTTGACTCACCAAGGCCACCTAATTGACCTCATAATGACTTGTCACCCTTTTGTGAATTTAGAAAAGATACCCATCCTTTTTTCATTATGCTTTGGTAGCAGATCTAGGAACCAGTGAAGACCTATCAGCAACGTGCATTCCACTTTGTTTTTCAGGCTATGTTGTAGAAGTTTATGACAGTGTGAATAAATCTTACCTTCGAATAGACGGAAATTCTGATAATATCTGATAACTAATGATTGCAATAGGCTGTTTGGCCATTTTATTTATTATATATAAGTTCTCAGCATTCAGCAAATAGTGCAGTTAGTTCAAGATCCTCTCACGCAGACTCCGTTTTCATTGAAACCAATCCCTTTGCTGATTCTAGTGGGGAGGGCGATGTAGGACATAAGATCTCATGAAAGTAATGACAGAATATTCCACCTCCCTTTATAATCTCTAACTTTAGAGGTCTAAGATGGTTGCCTCTTGATGTCTGGATTATTTTAAGGCAGCAGATTCATGTAAACACGTCCAAAATCAGATGTGTGATACTTTTCCTTGCGGTATAGTGGGAGTGTTAGAGGCAGATTGGACTCCATTTTAGGTTTCAAAGGTAAAATATTTTCCAAGATTATTAAGCTCCGGCTTTCTTCATTTAAAGTTTGATTCTAAACTTAAATAATTGGGGCCGCTGTATAAGCCCAAGGTATGCGGCCAGAAATCGTCATCGCTTGCGTATATTGTCATGTTACGCTGGACTATATCTACGCTATTTGTCTGTCTAAGCCAGCATCTCTACCCAGCGGTACGCATGCGCAAACACATTTCGTATTTTGAAACGTCTGTTTTGACTTGACTCACTAATTGTCTCCCAGTGCACGTCAAATAAGTACATAGGGGCCGACGGTTTAAAAATGCGTATTATAGAATTGCTTTGTTCCTACTTCCTCTTGAATCCCTTGTCTACTAATGGATGGTCTTGCCAAAAACCCAATCATTTTTATGTCTAAGGAACCGGTCTAACTGAGTAGATGGCCACATAGCAATCCTGCGTTTACTTCTAGGGAAACAAAGTTGAATTCCTTCAAGCAACACAAGTAAATAGCTTCCCGAAACTGAATATATGCGATGCAGATCAGTTTGCCCACTTGTGTAAAAACGGAATTCGATCATCTCATTGAACAGTTTCAGCTACAAATATTTGTCTGGTATGAAGAAATGTAGACTACAGGAAACTTATTTTGGGAGGAATGATATCCCTAGTGGCTTGTAAAAGTTGTTTTAATGGAGCACGTTGAGACGGCCGAAAAGAAACGTACATGGCAGAACTCATCGTTTAAACTATGTGCAGTTTATGAAATACTCGCTCTGAAACTCACAAATCAACAGATGAAGCATCTTGTACCTCACTGCTGTGCGTAAAATTTATGTGGAGTATACGCTACTAACATGTGGTGAGCACTTAATCCTGGATGGATAAAACTCAGCTTTTGCCACCCTGGTAAATGCGACACCTGTAATATCTGCGTTTTAAACATCCCAATATCAACAGCACATGAGCAAGCTGTATCAACTTTATTCGTTCTTTACTGTTTCAGTCATTTAACTTCATCTCACCTGCTTATTCGGGTGTGTGATTAGCTTTCCATTTACTGGCATGAGGACTTTCAGCGTGTAACTACTGTAAAGTGATTTTGGCTCTCTTGAATTGCGTTGGTATATTTACTAGTGAGGCATAAATTCAGACGCTAGGTGTTATCACTCCAAGAAATGAATGAAATAGACGGAGGACAATGTGTCTGACGGTCGAAAGCGCACCACTAACCCTTGCTCATATCCTTCAGTATTGTGCGTAACCTGGTCCTTTTGAGAAACTCAGGGTAGAAAAAGAGAAACAATAAAGTAGAATGCTTCAAATAATGTATTACACGAGAAGAGGTTTAGTCAGATCTCAATGATCACATCTCGATGAAATCAAAACGAAATGCAGGAACGTCAGTAAATCTACCGAATAATGACAGTGCTGCCTGCCCATCACATAGACACAAGATTCACTGGTGCAAAATAAGACACTACGCAGTGAAAGGTAATTGCCTAGTCGCAGTTGCTTAATGCTTTGTATTCACGAGGTAGGCAAATTTTTGTGAACGAAAATCAAGTCATGAAACAGATAATTCTGACAGACGGTGGCTCTGGACTTAACATCAGAACTACACTCAGAATTTTCTTCAATCTATATAGTGGCATTAATGACTCTGAAGTTATTGAGGTGGGGCAAAGTTAATCTATAGTGACCCAAAGAATGAGGACTCATGATTTACCTTCAAGCTACCACTAATAAAAACCAGTGGTTTTCACATTAAAATAACTTATGCTTACAAGCGATATAACAACGTTATTTCCCGCGGGGCCAACGCGTTATCCAACTGGTGAGATACTTTTAAGGTCATTATTGCGTTCACACTCCTGACTAGCTATACTAAGAATTGACGTGAAATGAATAGGGATAGTTCTCTACATTTTTTTTACCAAACTCAGGAAAAATCCATCAGGCTTTGAGTTATACTGAGTTACAGTAAATAACCGTTTCGGTTGTTTGAAGCGGGCGTTAGGAATTGTAGGTCACGCCTACAACATGATTCGTAGTGTCATTCGTGGTCGTGCAAGTTCACGATTATTCAGCGTAAGTGGACCTATACTGACTTTTTTATAAATATCAGCTTGGATGATCTTTTTGACATTTGATTTAAGGCGTTATTATCTCCTGTCAAGCTTCATACTTTGGTGCGTATCGTAGTAGGTATTCCACCTATGTCGCTGATTCTGTTGAACAGTAGTAGCTTCGGGTGTTTTCCAAATTGCACTTCTGTAGACGACTCGGAGTTTTTTTGACGGATGTGTTCATAGAGTTGGTTATGCCAACACATGATTGTGTGTTTGACAAAATTAAGGGCAACAGTAAAGAACAATTGCCACAATCAAATAACCTTGGACTAATCTGTCATATTCTTCTATGTGGAATGTAGCATTTTTGGTATAGAAGGTATATTTACGTAATAGAAACGAATCGCATAGCACATATGTGCCCAATATCCAAAAAACGGGTCCTAATTTTTATACGACTAGAAAACGGTCATTTTCTTTTATATGCCAATGGAATTTGTATGAGTACCAGTTTTAGGATCCACAAATCCTGATGAATGATTGAATTTATAATGAATTTACCCTGATGATGATAGTCAGTGCTTAACATTTGAAATGGATGCCGTCGATAACCGTCACTTTTTGATGTGGTTGTGTTCTCTGAGCTGGTTAGTTAATTTGCGAAGCTTTTATTACCCTACTAGGCAACATCTTCAGCGCATACTTCAATTCAAAGACTTCAAACTGAAGTATGCGTTGAAGATGTTGCCTAGTAGGGCAATGAAAGCTTCGCAAATTAACTAACCAGCTCAGAGAACACAACCACATCAAAATCATCCACCTGAGCTACAAATCATCTCCGTCATATAACCGTCAGTGTAACCCGAGTTAAAGGTAGGCTTAGGCCCTGACCCTAAATCAGAGTGAAGTTTACAACGAAGAGTATGAAAAGCATCCTTTTGCAATGTTAAGCGATCTTAATGGCTGCTCTAGGGTCATTTGACTGTGGTATCTATTCTTTACTCCTGCCAGTTTAAGTTAACCCTGGGTGAATTTCTTAGAGGGTACATCTGTATCAGTTGTAAATCATTAAATCCATATGAAGCTCATAGTTCAGACTTAATGA